TTTAAGGGCAGTTCAGGGGTGGTTCTTGCGATGGCAAAGAAGACACGCTATCGACACACGCAGTCTCAATCCAAGACGAAGCTCGATCTGGGAACATTGACGCTGTCGGAACTTTTCCCGAAAAACTGAGAGAAATTATCTATGAAGGTGGTTATTTTGATGAACATGTTTATAATTGCGATGAAACTGGTTTATTTTGGAAGCTGTTACCGTCGAAGTCGCAAGCAACAGCAAGCGGCCCACATAATATCAGACCCAAACAAAATAATCAACGCAATGTTTACAGCAAACATAATCATGATTTTATTCGAATACTGCCTGACACATGTGATGATACATCAATTAACTAAACCGAGGGTTTATATGTGCTTTTTATATGTTTTTAAATGCACGACCTCCCTCTTTCACGACGTCCCTCGGTAAGTCGCGGCCCTCGATAAGTCGCGGTTTTTGCTTGGATCCCAACACCCGCGACTTAGCGAGGGGCCACTGTACCAAGTGAAAATAAAGTATTCTACAGTATGTAACTCTACAAGTGACTCAGTAATCATAAGAACTATATATGCAAATTAGCTCATTAATATGCAATTGATATTAGCATAAAGGAACCCTATTGTGAATTTGCCCTATTCATGTATGGTGATGAATAGATGTTGGACTGATTATCTCACTCAGTAGTCAGAGCTTGGCTATGAGTGCATAATTCATTACAAACTGGTAAAAGCATTTGATACACTTGTATTAAAGATGGACGAAGCATAACTGGTCAAAACACAGAAAGTGTTAAAACAATCCACTCGATATTTTGCAAAGCAAATAAATAAATGACAATAAAAAATTTAAAAAGAAAAACTCCATTTCCATGGAAACAATTAAAAATTGCACATTGTGTAAAACCTTACTCTGATGGCCATTTTGATTTAAAAATTTAGTAAAAACACATAAACTGAGGTTCGGTTTTCAAAAATTAATTTCTTCTATCATGCTAATAGGCCACAAGTATGTTGATCCTTGATTACTGAGAGCAGATATATAAAGGTGAATATCGATTCAAATGCAGAACGCTAACTAACCGTCTACTGATGTGCGAAGACGTTTGATGCATAAATACAGAAAGCAAGTTATAAACAGGTAACTAAAGAAAGTTATTACCAATGATTGGCATGTATTTATTCACAAATGACCTTTAACTTTTTTTTTCCTCTGCCTTCAAATTTGATTAGATTATCATGAAAATCCTGACACAAACATGAGTAATCATTACAAATTTGACATGCAATCAGAGCCATTTTATTCAAAGTAGTGAAGTGCAGACAAATGATGATTTTTTGATTTTTTTGGATTCTCTCATCGGTGATGTTGACTGCACACTGATTAGGAACGTTATTCTAGGACTATTTACTAGACAAACTAACGTAGCAATTTAAACCATATTTCAAGTAACATTATTAAAATATGTGATTTCCAATTACAGTGCATGCAAATGACAGATAATTTGCATATAGTTGTACATGTAATAATTATGAGTATATATATACTAGTAAGACAATGTACATAGTAGTTATTAGATAACAATTTTGGGCATGTTTGTAAACAGTAAGAGTAAAATTGTGTATACTTTTTAGTTCCTGTGTGTGCAAAGTACACAAATGAGGTAATGAGTTAGTGTGTCTGTTTGTCTGTCTGTATGTATAAGGCAAAATCTCAATAACCCCAATAGCAGATTTTGATCAAATTTAGTACATAGGTAATGATTTGTTTTGCGGTTATGTTTATGCATATTAAGTAGCTAATTTACATATTAATTATCTCATTTCAGACTGAGTAACCAAAATCTCAAAAACTTCAGAACGGATTCTGCTGTCTGATGATCCTATCCTCCGATTGCTCCTTCACTGACTGTTGGGTATTTTCATTTTCTAGATATTTTTTAATAAAACAACAATGATTGTATATATTCTGCATTCACACGAAAACTTTGCCGAGTTTAACTTTGAATACTTTTGTATTATTTCTTTGTTAGTTTTGGGTCAAACGAACAAACATTCCCATTATTCTACAAAATGCACAAAAAGTAGACATTGGCATTCAAAGTTCCAAAAACAATGTGAATACCTCACCTGTTACTTGGAGTCTACTGGTAACATCCACATCAACATCATGTATATTATAAGCTTGATATCCTACTTGTTGATTTCTTTGATCTCTTGCTAAAACACTACCTATTTCACTGTGAAACATTTCGGGACTAGCAGTTCCTGCTGAACTAGCACTTGTACCATCACCACCATTATGTGGTGGAAGCGGTCGACCTTGTTCCTCAAAAATGGCTAAAAGCTAGGGAAAAAAAGAAACAAATTATAAACATTAATTGATGTATTTTATTAGATATAACGAGTTTCCAAGTTTATATAATTGATTTAAACAGTTTGTATTTCTGTAAACTTTGTTATTAAGATTACACATCGAGGGCGCTATAACTGACATACCTTTATCCATATTTGGACATACTATGATGTTATAGACATGTAAATAAGATATATTTGCTGCATTAGTAGCACATGCACATGTGTATGACAGAGGTATGGTACAATGATGTCATAGCGTTACTAGGCAACACCGATATGATTCATCTTTGTTGTTGCAGAAACTCAAAAATCAAAATGCAATTGACATGTGTAAATAGTATTTGTTGTATTAGTTTATAAAAATAAGTCAAATTTTAATAATCTTATGTACAGTGCAATTTTTGTTATGTCCATCATTCATATTTGTGATACGCTTCTAATAGAGATTTTTGTTCAGATTGCTCACTTTTCCTGTTATAGATTCAACTCCAAAATGATCTGGGTTGATACAACAATTTTTGGATTTAAACATCTGTAATGACCACACATGTTTTCTTGATTGTACCAGCTACATGTACAACAATTGTATCAACTGTAGCTGTATCAACATAACCAATAAATGCACACAAACCACAAGTTTTACTGTAATAAATATAAATTTTTGCAATTTCATGGGGTGTTATTTCACGAAAGACACTGTGACTTCCTGTCGTAAACATCCCACATAAAATTTTCACTTCTACAAAATTATGCGATTTCATAACTCATAAAATTCAGATATAGATATATACATCTCCCACACAACTAAGAAGATTTATAGCATTTCAGCTGCCTTAGCAACAAACAAACCAAACACTGTGATCTGTCAATAAACAGTTTGGACAGATATGAAA